TTTATTACATAAGTTTTCAGAATAAAGTACAATGTGAAACTTGTAACATTTATACCGGAGGTAATAAATGATTTACAACTGAGTGTGATAACTCAGCATAGTAAGCAGTGTTGAAATAGACATTCTCTCTCTCCAAGAATACTACCATAATAACATTATAATATTGAGTAAGTGAGATAGGTAAAAGTAAAGTTCAAAGTTATATTTCTAACCTTATCATTATACCACTCAAACAGACCACCCAGACTGTCCAAACTCATAACAAATTTGAATGGCTAAACCAAGCCTTTACTAATTCTTCTGAACACCAAAGAAAACAAGTCTCTAGTTCTCTCATCATAGCTTATGTGCTTAGTAGCCTATTTCTACACATTATCTAATGTTTTAATATCTTTCTAGAATAAGAGAACTAAAACTGCACACAATACTCTAAAATGTTGCATCATCAAAGACCTGTTTAAGGTTGCAATAACCTTAATCTTAAATTCAAAATTACTATAAACAAAAACCTATTAGCTTTTCTTACCACAGCTAAACATCAAACTTAGAAAAACTACTGCTCATAAAGGCATAAAAATCATTAACTTAAATAATAAATGACAAAGGTTCAGGTAGACCCTTGAGGGATTCTCTAGTCACATTCTCCTATTTGGAAAAATGACCAATGATCATCACTTTTTCTGTCCTACCACTAACCCTATTTTCTATCCATTTTTTAACTTATCCTGCAATCTCATTAACAGCAATGAGAAAAACTCTGCTAAATTTCAGTAGTAGAAGTAGTGAACCTCATACCCAAGTGTTAACCTATAGAGTACCATCCTTTCTAGTGTTAGAAAGTGCTGATTCAATAGTGTCATAGAATAGATTTATGCATACAACATGAAAAAACTTAATGCTAGCTGAACTTCACCTTCTTTTATTTGGTTATGGTGTGCTTTAATTATCATTAAAATATTCTTAACATATACCATTATATTAATACAGCTAGTTGTAGTTGAATGAAAAAAGACATAACATTTCAACAATAATATTTTGTTTAACAGCTAGTTCAAACCATGGTTGTCTATCTCTGTAAATGTGATTGATTGTGCTTTATATATTTTTCTCAATCAAGAATAAAGATATTATAAATCAACTTTTAGTTTGAAAATCACTTGTGCCTTCACCAAGTTACTGCAATGTTAACGTAACTTGTGCAAGCAAAAAAATGAAAAACTACAATTTTTATCAGTATTTTTTTGGCTTACGTATACATATGTCTTGGTCCCAAGAAAATATGTACAATATGGAAACCCTAGGGACATTAACATATAAACGCATGCTACGAACTCCCTAGGTGTTTTATCAAGTAGGGAGATTGATTTGATTAGCAAAAATAGCATTTCAAATTTTGAAGTTACTAGTGAGTTTGCACTTGGATAAACTAGACATCCAAAATGTGGTGCTCAGTATGATGCAAAAAATATTGATCTTATAAAGAGGAAATGAAAGTGCTCTTTGATCATGGTGTGGCTGGTAACTTAAGTTCCACAAACTTTCATTTGAATAGATGCTCATCCAGAGGTAGATCAACCAAATGATTACAAACTTCCATAAATTTCTAAAGTAAAATTTCTAAGCAGAAAAAGCACCAGCATTGCATAGTAAAACAAAAATATAGGACAGGATGGAAATGTATATGCCAAAGATATAGCACATAATGAAACTGGGACCAGTAATATAGCAAAAGAAAACTCAGAAGTTTGCACTGATAGCACAGTACTGCCTACTTATCAACACCAAGGGTTAGATATGGAGGTGTAGCCAAAGTATACAAGGATGCAGTACTAAAACAACATATAATGCCTAGTTACATTAAAATAGAATTCATATTTACCTCTCTGTCTAGCTCCTTGTCAGGGGGGGTGGTAGTGATATATCTCGTGACCAAAAGGTGCTTCAGAAATTTTCTTAATGTGTTTTCATATTATCTACTAATGCATAGTCAAGATACATATCATGACTCAAAAAAAAAGTAACAAATCAATGTGCAAGATATAGAATGTTGCCTTTTTGTATAAATAGGCTGTTAATTTAACCACTGCAACTAAGAAATTTCATTTTGACAGTTTGCGTAAAATATTTATGGTTAATCACATTTAAAGACACCTTACTTTCTGTGTTGACAAATTGAAAGTATTTCTTCGAGAGGTTTCAAAAATTTTAAGTATTTTTTTATTAAAATGAAAACTGAACTCAAAATATGTAATAAGTAAATAAATTTATTTCAAAGTATTGTGAGCATTAGTTGACCTTGATTTCAGTGTTTTAGTGAGATAATTAATTACTATATCTTTTTATGTATTTGGAAGCTGCTGTTCTTACTGAATAAGTTATATGTGTTGCTTTTGTTTTGAAAAACAGAAGAAAAATCAACTGGTTGTTTAACTACTGGAAGAAACATTAATGTTTGTTTGCTTGTAAACATCATATAATAATTTCCTTATCAAGAGTAGCATAGAATGCCATTGAATCTGTAGGCCTAACAATAAAATTATTCATTTGAACATTTTTAAATAAGCCATTAAAATAATTTAATTAAATGAAGCAACAATGTACTGTTATTATTTCTTGCAATGCCACTTCATATATTTAATTTTACATTAGTGTTTCCTACACATATACAAGTCTTAGAATTACTTGCGAAAATAAATTAATTTCATAAAGCAATCTTAGGCCTAGTTTTAATTTTTTTTTTATCAACAAATGCATAAAACTGATGGAATAGCTCTATTGTATAGTAACTATAAAATCCAGTTCCTTTTTAGTTAAAACCCAATACTGATGGGGAACAATGAAAATTTATATTGAATTGATGTTGTGTCTGTGCTGCTGGAGGAATATTACATCATACTCTAATTTGTAATCATTCTGAACAAATAAAAAAATGCATATTTTCTATTATGGTGAAGATTCACTTGGTAATACCTTTTTGTGTAGTTATATTTGCTGTACTTAAGGGTCAGAAATCAAACTTAAGACATTTTCTAGTAGTATAGCCCTTCCCTTCACCTTCTTCAATTTCATCTGGTTTTGTACCTTACATGCTTGATTTATTATCTAATAATGTTTTATAAAGAGTTTTGGTCTTAAGAATATTAATAAGCTGTAACTCTTCCCACTTAGTTATTACCACAAAGATTGATGAACTACACATTTTACTTGTAATAAAAAACATTTTATAAATTTAAAATGTTGTAGGGATGGTAGTATCAAAACGAATGCAAACAATGATATAGGGATGATACAGCTATATATAGATCATCCCTACATAGCTTTCAATATTGTAATTTAATGTTACACTGTAAAATACACAGTTACAAAATGGCCAACCTCGTAGCAAGAGTCTGTATAATCAAGAGTGTATAATCAAGATATGTTTTGATTGAACTTAGTTTTCCTTGTAGGTAAGTCCTAGGCTCATAGTTACATTACATTGTTGCCTACCATGACATAACCATGATATTATGATAAACAAACTGCATACTAACAGTCAGGATTATATAACTTCCAACTGCAGTAATATTAAAGTCAAGTATGTATTTTACGGAGTAACATTACATTTTGTAAATGTAAATGATGTAGGGATGGCAGTGACAGAAAGAATGCAAACAAGAAAATAGTGATGATACAGCTATACATTGATAATCCCTACATGTCTTTCAATATTAAAATTTAATGTTACACTGTCAAATGCACGAGTACAAAACGATTACAAGGTTGATCAATTTGACCGACCTTGTAGCAATAATGTAATAATCAAGACGTTTTGACTCAACTTGGTTTTCCTTGTAAGGAAGTCATAGGCTCTTAGTTCACTACATTGATGCCTATAGTGACATAACCATGATAAACAAACTGTATACCTACAATCAGGAATATATAACTTCTATCTGCAGTAATATTAAAGTCAACTATGCATTTTACAATGTAACATTAAATTTTAATATAGAAAGTCATATAGGGATGATTTATGTATAGCTATATCATCCCAGTATTCTTGTTTGCATTCCTTTTTGGCACTGCCATCCCTACATCATTTTACATTTACAAAATCTTTTTTATTACTTGTTTTGTGATGCCCCCCCCCCCCCTGTCTGAAGGCTAGTGTATTCTTTAAATGTGTGTGATAAAATTTAATATTATGTGTATTGATGTTTTTATTTTACTCCTTCACTTCATACATAATATAAGGGTTGACTCCCTAAAGACACTGATTGTATAGTGTACAAAGCATTGAGTATTCTACATGTTCAATCATTTAATGTTCATCTATTATTGGTTGGTAATTTCTGTTTCACCCTGTTCTTAAGTTTTTTAAAGGAACACCACATTTCTGTAAAAAAGCTAACTTGAAGGGGTAATGATAACATTGTTTACACTAGGATTATGATTTTTTTTTTTAAATTACTACTAGTTATTATGATTGAGAGTCATGAAATCAAGTTTTTGGTATATAGGGGTAATGATAACATTGTTTACACTAGAATTATGATTATTTTTTTTTTAAATTACTACTAGTTATTATGATTGAGTGATGACATTGTGCACTGCCCAAAAACACATTTAGGTTTAAACTGACATTAGTGATAAAGTAGTTATAGAGTTATCTTGACTGAAACAAGAAGAAAGATGAAGAATCTGGTGAATTGGTCACTTACTGGTTTGGTATCTTAGCAATGGTTTCTTGCTTTGTTTTTTGGCTTGTTGGGTAGAGAAACAAATAAAAGTGAGAGGCAATCATCTTTTAAAGTAAAACTCTTTGTCATTGTTAATTTCTTTAGTGTACATATTTGTATTATGCCTATTGAGTATCTCGGCCATTAAATGAAGTGTAAGCAATTATTTAATGCCTGATAAGTCATTGTGATGGCTTTATCTGTTAGTTGCACATTTTCATAAATTAAAAAAACAAAAAGCTACACAGTAAATGTTAGCAGTTAAGTAAAATATGTTTCTATGAAATGAAGGTGTTTTTTTTTTTTGTCATTGAATGAGATTTATATACTTCATAGTGTTATGTGCAAATATCGTTTTTCCTTTTTTTTTCTAGATTGATGTTATAAGCAGTTTCAGTTCATGACCAAAATAAAATTAGAAGATAAAATCTGATTACTACTTCTGCTTAAGTGGAATAACTACAAAGCCAGACAGTAAAAGATCCAGTGCTAATTATATAGAATAGTTATATTTAACAAGTATTACTTAAATGAATGACTTTCTCTTTTTGTTCATGCTGTCCAATTGTGAAGCAGTTTTTAAAAATAATCAGCATACGTGAAATACAAAAGTTGCTGTAACTGTTGAATGTTTATTACCTCAGATTTCAATATCTGTGGTTGATTGTATGGAACTTGAGAAAAGTTACAGAACCATATTTGCATTTTTGTGTTGAAATCTCAATTTTTTTATTTGACAAAGAGGTAATGTAAGAATTTCTTTTGTTGTTACAAAATGAAATGGCTCAGAACATTTAGAAATATAACTTTTATATCAAGAGTTTATGGCACATCCACTGAAATTCAGTTCAAAAATCCTTGTGATGAACTTCAGCACTACTTGCAAGTGCCATTGTTTACCCAGAATGAAAAATCTTTTAGTCCAAGTTTGATAGAAATGAAGGCAGCTCAAAAGCTATTTATTCCAAGTCCAAGACATGAAATCAAGTTTTTGGTATCAGCTATTGATCAAGATAGAATGCCTAAGCACGATCTTCCAGAGGTAGGTTGTAAGAGAAGAAAAAAAAGCTTTATTGTACCTGAAATATTGTTTTGTCATTTGGAGTATTCAATACTTTAAATAGAATATTATCTACTTTTTGGTATGTGCATAATAGCATACCCTGTTCTCTATAAATTAAGTTAGACAAATGAGCCATTCAGTCCATGAAGATCATCCTTGCCACTTGTCAAAATATAGAACTGAAGCAGCTAGCTTCTCTTTAGTTAAAGTAGCCTTTCACAGCTGATATACATATACATTTCAAAAATTTTTTTTATATAAATTTAAACTAACATCCCAGCACAGACACACACACAATTCTTTATCATCAGCCAAACCACTCCACAAGTCTCAACTTCAGCAGAGACACTTCATCATCAGGTAATTAAACTATTCCATAATTCTTAACTTCTGTAACAAATATTTTTACAACATTATCATCAGGCAAACTACTTCACAAGTCTTAACTCCAGTGAAGAATGTTTTACCAAAGAATAAGTATGGATTTAAACTTTCAAGACATATCTTTATTGCTTCTAATATTTACATTCCTATTTCTAGTCTTGTTACATCACTATGTGTCTTATTAAAAAAAAAATTGAAGTTTACTGTAGTTTTTTACTTTTTAGATAAAATAATCTCAAATTTATAACCATCTCTTCATTGTCAAATATTCTAGTTCTGTTAGTCTGTTTCTAAATTATGTCGAGCATGTTGGTATATCTTTCTTGTGGCAAGAAAATTCAGAAGACACACCAGGGTCTTGTCCAGAATTTCAATACTTTTACCTGTTTTATTTACTTCAGCTAAATACTTGGTCAAAGATTTAAATCTTTTTTTATCATTTCTTCCTTTTTTTTTCTTCATACATCAACAGTTATCCTGTCAAACAAAAAATAACTCCTTTCTGAGTTTCAGTACTCAATGTACGTCACTTTGAGCTTCTTATTGAAAGTATAATTTAGTTAAACTTTGAACTTTATATTTTTATGTTAGCTTAGATGAATCATATAATTATATTTATTCAAGTAATAAGCTACAATGTATTATGACTATTTTTAACTTATAAACTTACAGCTACTTTTTTTATTTGAATGACAAATATGTAACTACAATTTTAACAACTCTTCTAGGAAATGGAACAATTTTAATAAATTTTTCATATGTTTATATATCTTCATTTATATAAAGTATACTTTTAACATTTGATTTGATATATTTTTCTAGGTGACATTCATTGGCCGTAGCAATGTTGGAAAATCATCTTTGCTGAAAGCAATATTTGCCCAGGTTCCACATGTTAAAGTGAGAGTTTCTCATACACCAGTAAGCCATCTAGAAGTTTTGTTTTATTCTTATTAATATCCACAAATGTAGTGAAAGTAATAGGTTCTTCTTACTTATTCTAATAGCCTAAAAGAGTTTATCACAAAGAAAACTTTTAATTACAATGAAATATGCACTTCTCCTATTCTTATAAACTGACTTTAACTTGTTTGGCCAGTTACTAGTTTCCAAAACTTTAACTCTGATCTCTAACATTCAGGTTACTAATTCTAGTCCTTACAGTAGTTAAACAAAAATGATTTTGTAATTGAAAGCCCAACGAAATTAATATACTTTATGATTGAAGTTTAAAACTGAAGAGTAAAACCATATAAAACATATTTATTATGAACTTTTCAGTGTTAAGTATTCTACCATACTGTTGGGGCACAATAGATAGGAATTAATAATTTTATCAAGTTAATCTTTATTACTGATTATTGAAAAAAAGTCTAAAAATATGCTAGTCAACTGTTTTCATATTCTTTTTAAGAGAAAAGATGTCAAAGGGGCTGATTTTGTTGTGTGTGATTAATTGTTTGTGAGTTATATTGGTGTCCTGAAATATCATTCTTTATCAGTTGACCAATCAAAAAGATGTGATTATATGCAAATCTAGTTTAAAGGGAAAGGCACAAGGCTTCATGTGATGCAGGCAAATTTCCACTGTAATTTTGTGCACAATACTAACAGTCAAAACACCTACAAACTTTTTTAAAATGGAAAATGAATTTGAAACTTGAATTTAGAACCTATAGAGAGGAATCAGGTAAATTGTATTGATATTGAATTAACAGTCTCCATTATGAGATGAAACTTGTACATCAGTCACACTTGTAAACATATAATTATTAATTTAACGAAGAAAAGGTTTTACGAAAAATATATAATTTTACCAGTAGGCTTTACCTGTGGATAGGGAAAAGGCTAAATGCACTTTCACTTCTCTTATCAGATAGTATGACCATTTGACCAGGCTGATGATGCAAAATATTCACTAAACAGTAACTCATCCTTTAAAAGTCACATGACAATTGTTACAATTGGATATATAACCATTACAAGTATATGGTCTGAATGATAGCATTAGTTACCCAAAAATCTATATAAATGCTCTAATTATTGCAAGTCATGGCAACAAGTAGATACCAGTGACACTGTGCACCCAGAAAAAAAATTAATATATAAGAATCACATTGCACCTTTCCCTTTAATGTAGAAAAATAAACTTCTGGGAAGGCCTTATTAAATGTTTAAGTATGTTTGAAACGTAACTGGTAGAATAAAATTATAGAACTTTCTAATGGCTTGTTTTGTATATTTTTTGTACTTATGAATTTAAAGGTGATTTGACATATTTCTAGGGTCACACTAAGACAGTAAATTTCTATCAAGTTGGACGATCCATGTGTTTAGTAGACATGCCAGGGTATGGATATAAACAACCAGAACATTTTGTCCAGTCAGTGGAAGGCTACATACATAATCGACCTAAGTAAGTTTGTTTCTAGCAAATAACCTAATATTTGAAGGAGCAAGAGGCCCTTGGACCCATTATGGCTGTCCAGTTCATTTCAAACACACAGGTGCCTATATTCAATCCTGATTCTGTAAATACTCATCAAGTCCTCTCTTGAACTTTTCCAATCCTATTGCATCTACCAAATTTTAAGACAATCTATTCCAAAGGTGGACTACCCTGTTCAGAAAATAAAATTGCCTAATTTGCAGATTGGTTCTACCTTGCCAAGTGTTAAATTTGTGTTACCTAGTCCTACCAATTTTACCATTAAACATATGATGCATTAATCCTACTCAATCCCTTTACAATTTTGAACTATTCAATCTGATCCCTACTAACCTTTCTTTTACTCAAGAGAAAATAATTTTAAGGACCTTAACCTGTCCTCATATGACAGCCCTTCCTTCCCAGTAAACATCCTAGGATCTTTCCTTTGAATCCTTTCCAAAAACTCAATGTACTTGCAAAAAGTAAGCTGTTAAACAATGAACACAATACTCAAAATGAGGCCTAATCAGAGATACGTACAAAGAAACAATAACCTCCTGTAAGTTATATTCAATGTTCCTGTAGTCTTGTGTGTGTGTATATATGTATATATATATATGTATAGATTATTGATATGAATTTAAATCTGAAATGTTCTGATAACCCAGTACTTTATTAGAACTTTTGTTTTGGTTCATCAGTTTAAAGCGAACTTTTCTCATGATTGATGGAAAAGCTGGATTTAGACAGTGGGATGCAGTTGCTGTGGAGATGTTAGAAGAATACAGGGTTCCCTATGGGGTAAGAACATGTATCAAATTTAATATACCATTATGGCTTCTTTACACAAATGAGTACTGTTGCATCTATTTTTTATTAAAACATTTCACCCAGATAAATTCCAAACTATTTATAAGTTTAATGTTATTAGCTAAGGGTATAAACTAACTTATTGCTATTTCTTAAAAAATGTGTAAAAATGTTCTGAAATCACCAAGTAGCTAGAGGTACTTAAATAAATGCAGTTAAACACAAGTCTTTGATTCCCAATGAATTTCTTTATTATCTACTTAAACACTGGAATAGGATACCCAGCTATTTTTGTATTAAACTATGTAAAGGCATAACCATAATTTGCAAGGTGAGGGGGGATAAATTATCAAACAATTCCAAAGAATTACTTCGTCAAAAGGTGTTTTAGGGAAAAGAGGGCATAGGGTGATTCCATAAGTTTGTGGTGCACCAGAAAATTAGCTATATTCATGAGAGAAAAATATAAATAGGTTTCCAAAGCTAAAGGGTTTTAAGATACTCCAAAATGAAAGTTAGGCTTTCCTTAATTGACTTAAAATATTTTCAAACAAAACAAATAATTTTATTTGAATATGCTTCCGAGTTTTTCAAGAGAATAGTAACGGTTTTGGTTATTATCAAAAAACATCTTGAGACTTCTTTCTATAAAACTCATTCAAAATAATTACACCTTTTATGAATGTTATAGTAAATTTTACCTCATCAGTTTTAGTAATTCATTTGTAATTGATAATAAAATGAGTAGGAGACACTGCTAAACTCCATTTTAAATCTTAATTTGTTAGCCGTTATTTTGTGTGAAATAATTAAATCTTTGTTTTTAAGTATATGTAGATATTTTATGGGTTTTTTTTTTCTTTAGTAATGGTAACTTTTATAACCTTCCTGCTTTGTTTGATTTTCAGCTCATAATGACAAAAATTGATAAGGCATCTCATTCTATGCAACTCAGGAACCTAGTGGCTCTCCAAGAAATAAGAAATAAAAATATGTCGAATTGCTGCTTTCCCCAGCCATTTCTAGTCAGGTTAGCCTTCTACATCTTGTTGGAAGTAAATCAGATCACTTGTCATAGCTTACAAAAATGTTAACAGAACAGTACTCAAGGTTAATTACACTTTATAAGAACAGTATTTTACATCATTTATTTTTTTATCTTAGTACTACTTTCTCTGTCATTGATCATGCTCATTATGATGGCCATGATTATGCACTGTTGCCCAACACTGAAGTTTTCAGCTCTTTTGGAGTTGCACTGGGGGATGTAATGGGTATTTGGTAAAGTAGGATTACTGTGATTCCAATTTCTTCATCCATCTTTCTTATGGAAAAAGCTGTTGACTTGTGAACTTTAGGCTTTTGAGCTGTCTCAACTTCAAATCTTTGTTTATTATATTGCTAACTGTATCATTTTTATTATAATGGCTTTTTGGGTGTGAGGGTTGATTTTTTATAAATTCAATCTTCACTTTGTACATGAGGACATGAGCTTGAGGTATGGTTTTAGAGCTCATTGCTTTTTAATTGTTATGCTGTGCAAGTTTTTCTGCCTCCGTAAAGAACATTAAAGGGTTCCATTGTTCCAAATGTTGTGTTCTTGAGCACTATGTCATTTAAAAACTTGCTGCATGAGTATTTTCTCTGGATAAGACTTTAAATATGTATATATATTGCTAATGATATTTATCCCTGTGGCAGCATTTTACTGTCAAATAGGAATCTGATGTGAACAAAATATATAGGTGTTAGATACGTCATCCATGGAGCTCCATGTCCTACATCTGTGGTAACACACCCTTGTATTTATATATGCAAGTGATTTTCTCAAATTATGATTAACCTTTTGTATAATAAACAGTGTTGCAAAACAAGTAAACAAAATATTTTACATAATAATATTGATCATCATTGTCCTACAGTATACCAAGCATAGCAAATAAATTCAAAAGAAGGGATTTCTAAAACATCTCAGAGACAAGTCATAATGATATGAATTGTGTCTATTTTCACTTCAAAGGGATATTAAATGTACTGTGTTTTTTTACTACTGGCTGGTGTTCAGTACATATTTGAAAGCCTTTTACTTTTTTTAAACCTGCTAAATTTTTCCACATTACTGCAAATTTATTAGAATAGAGAAAATTTTTTAATCATTGAGTATGAGTTGTTGCTTGTTCTGACCCTAGACATAATGCTACCTCAGAAGAGTATAAGTGTGTAAATGTATTACTTTGAATCAGAATTTAACTCCTTAAACCCGAGCTGACACTGTTAGCATGTGGCCAAAAATCTTGATTTACCCAATGGATGGTGACAGCATCCGATAACATTTATATCTCTTTGGCTGAAAACTAATCCAAACCATGTTATTATCCACCTTTTATAAATAGACCAAAAAGTTTATAATGTATGGTGATATTTATTAGGGCATCATGAAAATAAGTTCAGCATAACACAAAAAAGTTATGGGTTTAAAGAGTTAATGCAATTGGCAAAATACTAAACATATGATTAATGGTGGTTATATTCTACAAGAATAAATAATTTCATAGTGCTGGTAACCCAAGTATTTTATATGTGTGTATCTTATTTCAAATAACTAACATTTTATATGTCATGATAAATGGGTAGAAAAGAAAGTAGTGAAAAAAATGGGTATTCTTTGATTTTTCTGTTTTGTTGTTTATCATTTATGCTAAGGATTTGAACAGTTGTGTAAGCAGTAATATTTCCAAACTGAATGACAACATATTATCCAAGACTGAATTTATGGAATCTCTATTAGATTGTACTGGATAATGTTCAGATGCTATTGCTCACCCTAGGAGTAACAAATTATTAATCATAGTTGTTTTTATTAATCAAATGAATTTATTAGTCAAAACTGGTTTTGAAAGCTGTAATACTAGCAAAAAGCATGTACAGAAACTTGCACTTTATAAAAGCATATTTACTGAAATTGACTTGGTTTACTTAGTATCCACATCTTTCTATAACAAGAATGTCATATTATTAAACAAATAGCCCACAACTGAAAAAATCCCTCCTTACTCTTTCTCATACTTATGAAATTATAGTTAATTAAAATATAATGTTTTGAGTACAGATTCCCAATGGTACATATTGAAATATAAAACTTATTTCTGCAAGTTGAACAATTCATAATTGATATTTATATTATACATTCGTCCTATAATTTCAGCTCCACTACAGGAGAAGGTATTGGTTACCTTCAAGCATTCCTAGCCCACATTACGGGGAGTATGAATTTCAGTGGAGTATGACCCTAGTTCGATGGAATTCTAGGAAAATATTAGAAAATAATGAATAATTCTTGGTAAGACATCAGTGAAACTCATAAGTTAAATTTACTAGTATGCTAAACATCATGTTTAATAGGAACTTAATAGATGGCAATACTGCATTACGTGAAGGTAGTTTTGAGAAAAAAAAATACAGGTGTTGAAAGTGGAAAATTTTATTAAGACTGGAGAGTAAATATTTTTTGAACCACTCATTTCATCCAGTAACAAATATTTCAGATTTTCAATCTAATATGTTACAACTATTAATTTAATAAAGGTTATATACACTATTGTGTAATTATTTTCAGAAGCAGTTTATTACATACTGGCTTTGAAGTATATTATGCAATTGTCAACTGTTGAATAATTCAATAAATTTTTATTTGGATTTGCCAAACCAAGTTTATTATTATAAAATAAGTCAAATATGTCTAAATTACTATTTTTGCAGAATAGTTATAAAAGCTTATTCCAGAAAGAAAGAAAAGCATGTTAAACTGCATGAAGAAGAAGTTTTTTTTCTTTTTGGGAATGGTGATCTCTCATTTGCATATTTCAATGAATTTCATAGGGTAATATTAGTTTTGGCAAATGACTTTTTCTAGTGACAAGCTGGTGTCACAACATAGTAATAAATTTAGGATGTGAACTCCGAGCTCCACTCCAAAACCTACCATCTTTATTTAAAGAGTTGTAATATATTTTGCAAACAATGTTTTATTATAATATAAAAATGAGCTATGAATGAATTGGTCACATGATGATTTGTCATAGAACAAAACAGATGATGTTATTTCTAATGTGTCTTCTTATCAACTAAATGATGTTGGAACAAGAATAGTGGTGTTATGGTTCATTGTTTAGATGTACTGAAAATCACCGCAGTGCAAAATATGTTTTTCTTTTGTGTCTGAGCTGAAACTTTTAAAGGATTGTTCTGTATCATCTTACAAAATGAGAATTAATATCAGAGAGAATTAATAACTTACCTGAAGAAGAATATAAAACTTCTTAATTTTAGGATACACGGTTTAATTATAAAAAATAAAAATTTGTATATTGGTAAGGTTAAAAATATATTAAAGGATAGCAGAAAATTTGTGAAATTTAACAAAGATCAAAACATTTAAATAAAAACAAATTAAAAAAAGTACCTCTTATGATTAAAGAAAAACAAATTATACTAGTTTGTTCTCATGCTTTAATAATATTTTGTTTGCTTAAAATTTACAAACTGGATTTTCCTGCAAAACCAATGGTTTGAAACATTGGTACTTATAACTGTGGCATGCCATGTTTTGTGGTAAAACTTTTTTCAAGAGTGTACTACAAGTAATGAATTCTCAGTTTAAAGAAAATTAAATTTTTCAGTTATCTGCACAATTTGAAGTTTAATATAATAATGTGTGTGTGTGTGACCAGTTCAGATGTAATCTCTCTCTCTACATCAATATTCATCAATAGAAACTGTTGATTAGTGTTCCAAGTTGATTTTCTTATCTTCAGATGTGGTGTTGTTTTTCTAAGATAATATGATTTTATATTTAATGATTTGATTTATGATCAGGTTGGTGGTGGTAATATGAGATAAATGCTTGCATCTATTTGACTAATTTGACTTTAAGCTATCATGCAAACAATGATTGAAAAAATGTCGTTAATTTTAAATCATTTTATCATTTTTAATTCCCAAAATCATTTTGACACATTGATGACTTCCTGGAGTAATTAAATAGTAAACACACAAATATAGTTTACAATTGATATTTTGATACATAAATAGCAGGGACATTTTAAAATTATTCGTAGAGAATTGCAAGTTAATATAATAAAAGTGTTTTCTTTTGTGAGTCATTCTTATAAGATTTTAACCTGTTGTCCAATGTTATATGAAGAAATAACTTATGTGTTAAGAAATGTTTCAAATTTTACTAAATTGACAGATTTTGTGTTGTTGCTAGTAATGCCACTGGAAAAGCAGAACAAACTAATCACATCCGAAGTTATAAAGTTTGATGTGCCTAAGAAACCAGTTACAATAGTATTACTGTATTCAAGAGAACCATCACAGTATATTGAAGAATGTAGTTTCTAGCATGGACAGAGCTAACTCATTGATAGAAGTTAGATTAGTATTTGAATCTATTATAAGAATAAGAAACCTATTTAACTTTAAACCATTAAAATACCAAACTAAAACAGAACTGCTTCAAAACCAATTTTATTACAAGTTACTCTCTCATACAAGTCCCAAAACTAACTGTGAAAACTTGGATGCAATAAATTTTTTGTCAAAAAATTTTAATGTTCAAAAAATAGAAACTTCAAAATTTCTGTAGTGATCATATGAACAAGGAAATTATAAATATAAAATTTTTATACATGTCATTATAGATATTTCATAAATAAAATATCAATTTACCATGTACTTCTAATTTCACCAAAGTTTAAAAAGTCACATAATGAAACAGCTGATTTATTTACAATAGTTTAAAAACACAAAAAGATCAATGAATGAACGAAAATTAGCACACAAGTTAAGATTAATTAATATAGATGGGTAATAAAATATTTTTTTTCCCAAAAATGGAACACTGGTAAATAACATGGATTAAAAATGTCATTTCTAAGAGTAAGCAGTCATTTTGTTAACTATAAATTAATGTGTCCTTGCTGTAAGGAGGAATATGTAATCTTAATTCACTACCAGGTGGTTCTTTCACTATATAAAAGAACACTTGGAAAAGAAAAGAAAATTCGTTAGGACAAGTGTAATTTAACTACTGCAAATAACATATTTTTGATAACTCGAGGAGCTAAGAAGTAGCAGCTCTTAAAAATACAAGTGTATGTAGACACTCAAATTGAAAATTAGTTCTAAATTTGAACTGCTTCCTTGTATTTCTGTTTCATTTCTGAGTAGTATGTTTTATTAATTTGGTGTATATTGTTAATGATGTCTCCTGTTGTTTGTGTGATATTCTCAGACACCCTATTGTCCCTTAGAGTAATTGGGTGGGATCCGCAAAATAACTGGAATTTTGACATAAAATATTATGCAAAATTACATTCATATTCTCTGACTTTGGCTGAGTTTTGAAGAATGAAAGTGACTGGACATTATGTATAAGAATTTGAAAATAATTATTATTTATTTAAAGCACTGTTGATGGTGATGAGTGAGACGAAGGACAGCACCTTTACTGGAGGTTTTAAAGAATCTGTACCAGAGAGAGAAAACACACTACATATATGCACAACCAACGTCACTGTTGGTCATTCTCAAATGTATCACCTAACCCATCTGTATAAAATTTTGTCCTATACTTTGATATAATATGTTCAATTTCAAAGATTGAGAAAAGTACTCTTAATATGCTAGGTGAATGACCCATTTCAGTAGGTAACTAAGGTGAAATTCACTTAACTACTTCTTTAATCAACGTTCTGTATTAAAACTAAATATAATTGTATGCATAAAAAATGTAGAAAACTTTTCTGTTAAAATAAGTGGGTAGAAAGCACGTAGCATGCCTGTCTACTACAGTTCTAGTCGGTTTTTCAAGTCATTCGAAAATTTACATAAGCAGCAGTTTGTAGACTTGACAACTCTGTAGTTGAACAAGCCTTTTTTTAGATACTGTCACTTCTATGTTGGTCAGCATCCCTCTTTTTTTTTGAAATTTACAGGACTTATCTAGCTATGTATGTGTAAAAAAAATTTGTTTATGCATAATTTCCATCAAGCTTGTGTGGGTTTAGTGTAAGCTACATATTTATTTCTGTAGCATTTTCTAATGTCAAAATCAGACTTGCATCACATTTTACCAGCTTTTTAATACTACACGATTGCATAGATTTTTTATAAGTATACCAACAATTCTGTGTTTATCGAAATATATCTTTAACATTTTGAATGTATGGCCTTACTGTTTATCAAAACTGACATTTTTCATTTTCTGGTCTTTTAAAATATGTAAGAATGTCATTTTTTTATATATGAAGAATTATTGATAAACCTATTTCTCAACATTAGGTACTTAAAGCATGTTATAGCAAAATTTATATTTAATGGGTATAGAATTTTTTCTAAAGTTAGGGGTGAATCAATGTAAGTTTGGTAAATATCTCAGATTAAACATATAGCACCTCCTGATAGACGAAACTCAGAAATATAACTCATTATATACTTTCACAGATCTAAAATATTTTAAACTTTTGCAATCTCACGATCTTTTAGTGGCGTAAAACATTTTGCATAGCAAGAAAATAAAATAATGTACCACAAATAGAAACAGTCAGTCTCGAGTTGCCCCCCAGTGGCACAGCAGTATGTCTGCGGACATACAACACTTGAAACCGGGTTTCGATACCCGTGGTGGGCAGAGCACAGATAGCCCTTGTGTAGCTTTGTGCATAATTAAAAACAAACAAACAATCTCGAGTTAATAGTGTTCAATCAAACTGTGTATTTCAAGACCAAAGGCTATAAATGGGAAAATAATCAAAATATCATATTTTTGAGTAATTTTTAACTGTAGAAAACTATACAACAGCTTGCATCACGACTACATTTGTTGTTGTTACTTTTAAATGCAAATATTACTTTAAAAACACTTGAACATAGTGCTAGTTGTTGTTGTATTTGTTTGTATGACAGCAGAGAGGTAAATAGAGACATAATAACAACAATGATTTATTTTGACGTTTTCTGCACATTGGTAATTTTTATAGCAAGAAATAGTTTCAAATCAAGCACGGGAGAATCGTTTAACAAGCCAAGGGGTGGGCACAAGGCTAAGAAAATTACTGTTTATTTGGGGCGTCACAGGAAATGGCTAAAATACATACTTGCAGTTTCAAACGTTCTTTAGGAGTCATTATCCGTTACATAGGCTTGCTGGCTAAGCATGGACAGTGGTTAGCAAGCCGCATGCGGATCAGAAAGATCCAACTGAAATATATTGATAAGTTTCAGTTGTGAGAATGTTATAATCGTGACAGTTTATCAGTTTTCGTATGGTAGTGCGAGTTGTTGAAAAGTGCCTTATCTAGTGCTAGCAGGTTAAATCTTAAGCTCGATTGGTGGAAAACTCGCCTACGAGCGGACATGGGTTTAAAATCTTTTAAGAAACAGAAATTCAAGCTTCCACAGTCGTTTACCCCATGTTTCTCATAAGATGTTCACGCTATGAAATACCATCAGGCTTACGCCTTTGGTTTTAACAAATGTGGAAATATAAACGAAAATGTATGCAAAGGATCAATTATAACGTCGCATTTTAATGCATGCTTCGATTAATTTAAGAAATAATCTACTTTTAGATTAAAAAAAATAGTTTTCTACGTGTTAGATAGTCGAGTCGATGGATTTTTAAAAGGAAGTACAGCTACATGCCATTATTTACTTCAGAACAATAAGGATATTTCAAAAACATATGATAAAACCTGGTGGAAAATTGTGGGGAACAACATAAAAGTTTCCATGGGATAAGAAGATATGAGAAAGCAAAATTATCTTAATCAGTTTTCGCACATTATACGATTTGTATTTTTAAATTACTTTTATATTCAATAGATAGCGCCACAACAGGGAACCTGCAGTTGTAGCTTTACCCGAATAATTCAGTCGTTATATTCAGCTTCGCGATAGAGAGGGCGCTGAATTATTAGAGTTAGTTGTAGCTAGGCAAACGTATGTTAAAAAAATACTACTTACCTCGAAAGTAATATGATCTATTGATTATTTGTTTGTTTTAGCGCAAAGCCACACATTTCTGTGCTGTGTCCACCTCGGAGAAAGGAACCCCCAAATTTTAGCGTTGTAAGTCCGTAACTTTTTCACTGACACACCGGCGGACGATCGTATAATTAATTATAAGTCATAGATGTTATTTATGGTTCTTAGTATATATATTTTTCAAGCTATGTTTTCCCGTCAAATATGATATGCGTTAATCATATTTATCTACTATTACGGATTTATTATTACATATTTCTTTTAATATCAACGTTTGTTTAGATTAAGCTTGTATTTAGAAATATGCATAGCTTGTAATGTATTGCGAATCTCCCGCCTATTCCCTAAAGTTGTAGAAGATTCTCGAGTGTAAGAATCAACAATATATGTATGTACATAAAC